GAGAAAGAGCAACTGTGGAAGGGAGCAAGATGTGAGAGCGAGAGAGGGGGGGTTGGAGAGAAAGAGATGAGAAAGAGCAACTGTGGGGGGGGGGAGATATGAGAGAGAGAAGAGGGAGGGTAGGAGAGAAAGAAATAAGAGAAAGAGCAACTGTGAGGGTGAACGAGACATGAGAGGAGGGAGGGTAGGAGAGAAAGAGCAACTGTGGGGGGAGCAAGATGTGAAAGCGAGAGGGGGAGGGTTGGAGAGAAAGAGCAACAGTGGGGGTGAACGAGGGGAGAGAGGGTAGGAGAGAAAGAGCAACTGTGGGGGGGAGCGAGACGTGAGAGAGAGTGAGGGGGAGGGGCTGAAAGTGTTAGACGGCACGATTTGAATATAATGGGCCCATTGATATTGTATAAACGTGATAGAATGTAGAATGTAAAAATAGAATCAAGTTACGATCAGTGTGAATATGTTATTAACGACAATTGAATTGACGGTGCATTTTATTGATATGAAATATTATACATCATTTTTATATACACAAGGAACATGTCATTTCATCATTTTTCACACCTGTATTATCATGTTTAACAAACTTCATACTTACAATATCAATCATAACAGCTTTATATTTGGCTGCGATTCGTATTATAGACATGTTTTAAAACTGTTTTCAACCAATTTCATGATTTTAAATTTTTTGAGATGATAAGCACCACTTCTTTAACAAATACATGTTGTACAATCTAGGTGAAATGTTATAATAATATATAATTGGTTACCGGTACCATAGAACAACGCTCTAACCACTTTCATGCATAACTACATATTACTGTTAAGAAAGATTAACAATAATAACAAAACTATACAACTAAATGAAACCTTTTCCATCCATGGGTTTTTGCAGCATGAATATAGGATAATTTCTCGAACAACTTTTTTTTTTCTGTCGTCGAAATTGGTGCTGTGAGGAAACACGGATAGCACATCAATTAATCTACCAGTATTGCATTTGATTCGTGACACCGCATACCTGCATGTAACGTGCTCGAATTTCTGAGAATCTTTGACATACACACTGAAATTTCACGTCGGCTCACGTCGGCTGAATCGATCACAGTGTAGTAGTACGTTGTCGTGGAAACTGACATCCAAGGTCATCAGATCAGAAATCTTAGATGATGAGGTTTTGGTATGAGCTCCTGGTATCAATGAAAGTCCCCATTCTATCTTTAATCAGTCAGTGGTGGTCAGGAGATCCTTGTGCGTCCATGATGCTCGAGTTACAGTCGGAACATCAGTAACCTGGCAGAAAAAAACAAGAACTCAATACAACTGCGCTGAACATGAAATGTTTATATATGCTACACTACATCTACACTTGTTTTTTATGTTATATATATATATATATATATATATATACACAAGGGTAGAAATTATTATCTTTTGACCGAGACAGTCCAACAGACTTCCTGTACTCAAAATGAGGAAGTCAGTAGCAAAATATGAGTTCACAATCTGAAATTTAAAACTAAAGATAACAATAATACACGCATGTGCATATATAATAAATTTAATAATATTGAAATTTAACTAACAAATCTTTGGCACAAATAAACGCACAATACTGAACATTTCTTTCACATTCAGATACCAAAAATAGATGAACATATATCTATGCTTTCATAATTGTTATTTAATTATATTTGTAGAGTTACTTTACCATGGCGCTAAGCAGCATGCGAGGTGTCAGTTTAGACCGACGCCTGCTCCCTGCTTATACAGCGCAGGAAGCTATTGAGTGGCACTGACGCCGCAGACTAGTCTAGTACGAGTTGTACTCAATTGTGGGACTCTCTACTCAAATATTAATGCCGCACAATGCGCATCCAAACGCTAATTTCTCCAGTACTAGACTAGCAAATACTTCGTGGCATGCATAATCACACTACCTTATGACAAAATAAACTCATGGAACCTAACCCTGTCATGAAACGCGTTCTACCTGTACTAACAGCAAGTTTGTTCAATGGTAATTCCCAGAAGATTAAACTTGGCATCAGTTTTTGGCAACTAGTCTTCAATGTCTTTGTCAAGTTCAGGTGAAGTTGCTGCGGCTAACCATTATGAACCGGTTTTATGTACTCGCATTAATCATAAAATCCAATTACGTCATCGTGAAATTTGCTGAACCCGTTGCAAGATATACTGTATACGCTGTATATTTCGGGGTGGTTTAATTTTCGCGAATTTCGCGAACGCGTCCCCGACCGCGAAAATAACAACACGCGAATAATTCATAATTCACCGACCGCGAAGTTAACCACTCGCGAAATTGTCCTTCAAGTATGAATTCGCGAAAATTTCTGTACGCAAAAAATATGGCGTATACAGTAGGCTGTCGCCGTCTTCGTTTGCGCAGGTAAGGCTGTGCGCATCGTTAACGGCGCTTACCGTGGCTGCGACGCCGTCCTACTAGAACTCGACGAGAAGAACTTCTGCTGCAAGGTTCGGGTCGAGCGCGGGCCCGTGAAGGGACGAGTCATCGACCGCGTCGCATACGAAGATCTCAGCAAGGTTGCCGTGCCAACGTGACGCAGACTCGGCCGCGCCCAGTTTCTCACGTTATATCGCGAGTCAGTCAGTCTGTAAATATCCACTAGCGTAGAAAGAGAAGAGGGAGGGAGGGTAGGAGAGAAAGAGCAACTGTGGGGGGAGCAAGATGTGAGAGCGAGAGGGTTGGCGAGAAAGAGCAACTGTGGGGGGGAGCAAGATGTGAGAGCGAGAGGGGGGAGGGTTGGCGAGAAAGAGCAACTGTGGGAGGGAGCAAGATGTGAGAGCGAGAGAGGGGAGGGTTGGCGAGAAAGAGCAACTGTGGGAGGGAGCAAGATGTGAGAGCGAGAGAGGGGGAGGGTTGGCGAGAAAGAGCAACTGTGGGGGGAGCAAGATGGGAGAGCGAGAGAGGGGAGGGTTGGCGAGAAAGAGCAACTGTGGGGGGAGCAAGATGTGAGAGCGAGAGAGGGGGAGGGTTGGTGAGAAAGAGCAACTGTGGAAGGGAGCAAGATGTGAGAGCGAGAGAACAGACAAAAGTAGTGAAAACTTATCCATCTACTAGTGGTAAACTTCCATAAAACTTTCCATAAAATTTAGGCCGTGGCTCCTCGACCGGTAACCGGTCTCCAATGTTCCATGGAACTAATACCTGAAAATACTCTACCGCAATTATGTATTTAACAATATATATAGTCAAATTACCGGTCGAGGACCCACGGCCTAAATTTTATGAATGGCGTGCCTGATTTAGCGACAGCATACGCTGCATTAAACAGACAACGAGTCGTGTTTTTTTTTACTTGGACCGATTCCCATGAGAGCTTTCACGAGTGGCGATTCGGCAATAGTAGTTTTCACTGAACTTGGGCCTATACTGTATATCTCACATGACAGTTTAGTTCCAGCAGGAATTTTCACTGGATCAGTTTTCACTACTTTTGTCTGCCAACTAGGGCTCATCTCTAAACGCAACCACGGTGTGAGTGGATGTCCGGATGCGTAGCCTGGAGGCAAGGCGACCGGTTCCGCACGCGTAGCCACTGTGATCCTTTTAACCGGTCGTTTAGCCATGGAACATTGGAGACCGGTCACCGGTCGAGGAGCCACGGCCTAATTTTTATGGAAAGTTTTATGGAAAATTTTATGGATTAGTGGTAAACTTCCATACAATTTTCCATAAAACTTAGGCAGTGGCGCATCGACCGGTAACCGGTCTCCAATGTTCCATGGCTAAACGACCGGTTAAAAGGATAGACCGATCAACAGGGAGCTTCCCTCGCAGCTTTTCTAAGTTTGTACTGTGTGCAGACAACAGCCCTAGTTGGCAGACAAAAGTAGTGAAAACTTATCCATCTACTAGTGGTAAACTTCCATAAAACTTTCCATAAAATTTAGGCCGTGGCTCCTCGACCAGTAACCGGTCTCCAATGTTGCATGGAACTAATACCTGAAAATACGCTACCCCAATTATGTATTTAACAATATAAAGTAAAATTACCGGTCGAGGACCCACGGCCTAAATTTTATGGAAAGTTTTATGGAAGTTTACCACTACTCCAATGTTCCATGGCACTAGGTTAGGAAGTAGGCGTAGGCGACTCCCTAGACTCGTTAGTGGAGTAGGCGAGGTACGGTCGGGCATATTAGATAGTACCAGGGTACATTCCGATATATCGAACCGTACCCAGGGTACCCTCCGATAGTACCCTGGGGGACATAGACCCACAGGCACTTGAAGCGTTTCAATAAAATATAATGCTAAATAAATACGAAATCTATTCACTACCAAAGTCTTAATGTTTCTATACTCTCTTTCACCTATTATTGCCGACAATTTCCTGTAAATGCCGTCCAAATGCTCATCTACAACAAACACTGGCTGCCGCCAAGCGCCATTGCTGCCGCTGCAGTGCTGCACGCGAGTTTTTAAACCGTAGGATGGCGACGCCAGATTGATGAATCACGCGTCTCTGATTGGTGCGTTGGGTTAGGGTTAGGGTTAGGGTTGGGGTTAGGGTTAGGGTTTTTGCATCATGATATCTGTCCCCATACCATATATTAATTTTTGTGGATGACACCCCTATATATATAGATATCCGATATATAGATATTTAGTGTTAGGGTTAGGGTTGGAGTTAAGGTTATGGTTACTGTTAAGTTTTTTGATGTGTGATATTACCTTAACCCGCTGACGTGACAGGCATTATTACTTCGCACGTACCAATCAGAGACGCGTGATTCATCAATCTGGCGTCGCCATCCTACCGTACAGTTTAAAAACTCGCGTGCTGCACAGTGACACTTATATATATAGCAGGTAGGAAAGCGGGATCGCTTAATTCGCTCGACGCTCGCTTGATTTCACGCCTTCACAGCACGAATACACATCCAACAGCTTCCATCTTTGTTTCTATTTCAAGAACAGTGTTCACTTGTTATAAAAACATAATGTCTCTGTTCGTAACCGAGCTGTGTCACGCGAAATCACACAAAGACTGACGAAATTCTCGCATTCGCTCCCTTTGCCCAGTTTATGTAAATGGCTGCCAGAATCAGGAAACACCTACCGGCGCTCTTCGTGACCTCATTCTTGCGCCGCAACGCTGCAACGTTTTTACAACGCTCCAAAATGCAGCGCGCCGCCTATAGCCCTTAGACTGGTACTCGCTCCCACCTATCGGCTTAGTTACTCGATGGGTCCCCCGATGGGTTCCATCGAGTAATCGAGGTGGGAGCGAGTACCAGTCTACTATAGCCCTGTACTTGCAGCCATTTACATAAAGTGAACACTGTTCTTGAAATAGAAACAAAGATGGAAGCTGTTGGATGTGTATTCGTGCTGTGAAGGCGTGAAATCAAGCGAGCGTCAAGCGAATTTAGCGATCCCGCTTTCCTACCTGCTATATATATAAGTGTCAGTGTGCAGCACTGCAGCGCCAGTAATGGCGCTTGGCGGCAGCCAGTGTTTGTTGTAGATGAGCATTTGGACGGGATTTACAGGAAATTGTCGGCAATAATATTAATAATAATAGGTGAAAGAGAGTATAGAAACATTAAGACTTTGGTAGTAAATAGATTTCGTATTTATTTAGCATTATATTTTATTTAAACGCTTTAAGTGCCTGTGGGTAGACCCTACGGGCATGAGTATGACTACTACTACAAGTACTACTAGTAGTACTACTACTACTACTAGTACTAGTACTATTTTTTATAATACATTGTGACTGTCATTGACACAAATTCACAATCAGTGAATCACAACTCACCACTCAGGTCTCCAGTTCATGTTTCTACTATTGGCCAGCTCTTCTCCTAGCATAGGCGCCCAGGCAGGCACATATACCGAATAATCCTAAAGCCAAGCCTAAGATGAGCGCCAATGCATCGCCTCCGTCAAACGCTAGAACGCCTTGTAAGGGAAAGATGAGTGAAATCGCAAATATTACTGGTGCCCAAGACTCCATTATTATGTCAGTGCGTTTTTACTACGTCGTATACTCTGAATCGCGAATGAGCTTTTCCATAGCAGGGTACGTAACATAGCCCTTACAATTTTCGTGCGTAACATAAATATTATATTTTGTCAATTTTTTTGCTAAAACTACACCCGGATTTTCTCTTTGAAATTATTTCAAAGTAATTATTTAGGGTATCCGTTCGTGTGCTGCGGGGCAAATGTTCTATATATAGACATGACGTCAGGTTCAAATGCCATCCGCTGACGTCACGCTCGCAACTGCACGCCTGTATCGCTCTGCCACCACACAGTAAACAGACGTGACACAGTAAACAGGAATATCTTTTTCGTCGAAGAGGTGAAATTCATCCCATATGCATGAACAGCGTGAGTCAGGGGTCGACCTGAATTTTGATGAGACACTTGGAGTCGTGGATCATGACTACTATAGCAAGAGTTGCTACGAGATCAAAAGTAAAGTACCGGTAGTGGAAAGGTAAGCAAAATGCCAAAATGATGCTGAAACAGTCCGCCTTGGACTTGCATGGTTACTGTTGACAGGCGTTTCATGGTTTGCGATAGCCACAAGTTCCCATCTCGCTTAACACTACGTGGCCGTGTAACTAGTCGGAGAGCCTGGTCGGTTTAGGTTTGCGATAGCTCTAACACTATATCCCGTGTACAGTTGCCGCAGGTATACAACTATGATGACTGATGGTCTTCTAACCCTAGCAAGACCGTTTCTTGGAGCTAGGTTTGCGATAGCTCCAAGGAGTGTATTGTAAATAGGTGTTTATGTGTACATGTGATGATGTGTTCGCGTGTAGAGCATCTGTACTAGTACTACTAGTACTACAGTAAAAACCCGCGTATAAGAACATAGATTTTAAGAACATGTTAGGCTAAAATTTCCCATTTAGACCCCTTTACATAAGAACCTGTTTTAGGCTAAGATTTTAAAGTAGGTTCTTAATTTTCCATGCAGATGAAGACTTAAAAGGTATTTTCAAATGCCTTTTATAAGACAACGCGCAGTGAAATGGGAGGAACTAGAGTTTATTTTGTCATAAGGTAGTGTGATTATGCATGCCACGAAGTATTTGCTAGTCTAGTACTGGAGAAATTTGCGTTTGGATGCGCATTGTGCGGCTTTAAACTCTGGGGCCCTAACAAGTTATGATCAACAAACTTAATTAATCGGAACACCGCTAATTATTGGTTGGGTTCCGGGCAGGGGTAGAGGTAGGGTTGGGTTGGTTAGAGTTGTTTTAGGTATTTTTTAGGCTATTGTTAAGAATTTATTTCTTATTTCTGTTGCTGTCAATGCAATGTACCTCAACAAAATGTATCTTATATTATCTTATCGTCATCACGTAATAAGTACATTTTAATTGGCTCCATCAAACTGTTAGATATGACCCCAAAAAAATTGGTGCAGCCATGCGAATTAATTCCGTTTTCTCCTAGGTTTACATTGTTTTTCACCTGGACACTACACACGAGTTCAAAATCTGAGAATGGCTTGCCTGATTTAGCGACAGCATACGCTGCATTACAGACAAGGGAGTCGTGGTTTTTTTTACTTGCTTACTTACAGACAAAAGTAGTGAAAACTTATCCATCTACTAGTGGTAAACTTCCATAAAACTTTCCATAAAATTTAGGCCGTGGCTCCTCGACCGGTAACCGGTCTCCAATGTTCCATGGAACTAATACCTGAAAATACTCTACCGCAATTATGTATTTAACAATATATATAGTCAAATTACCGGTCGAGGACCCACGGCCTAAATTTTATGAATGGCGTGCCTGATTTAGCGACAGCATACGCTGCATTAAACAGACAACGAGTCGTGTTTTTTTTACTTGGACCGATTCCCATGAGAGCTTTCACGAGTGGCGATTCGGCAATAGTAGTTTTCACTGAACTTGGGCCTATACTGTATATCTCACATGACAGTTTAGTTCCAGCAGGAATTTTCACTGGATCAGTTTTCACTACTTTTGTCTGCCAACTAGGGCTCATCTCTAAACGCAACCACGGTGTGAGTGGATGTCCGGATGCGTAGCCTGGAGGCAAGGCGACCGGTTCCGCACGCGTAGCCACTGCACATGATCCTTTTAACCGGTCGTTTAGCCATGGAACATTGGAGACCGGTCACCGGTCGAGGAGCCACGGCCTAAATTTTATGGAAAGTTTTATGGAAAATTTTATGGACTAGTGGTAAACTTCCATACAATTTTCCATAAAACTTAGGCAGTGGCGCCTCGACCGGAAACCGGTCTCCAATGTTCCATGGCTAAACGACCGGTTAAAAGGATAGACCGATAAACAGGGAGCCTCCCTCGCAGCTTTTCTAAGTTTGTACTGTGTGCAGACAACAGCCCTAGTTGGCAGACAAAAGTAGTGAAAACTTATACCATCTACTAGTGGTAAACTTCCATAAAACTTTCCATAAAATTTAGGCCGTGGCTCCTCGACCGGTAACCGGTCTCCAATGTTGCATGGAACTAATACCTGAAAATACGCTACCCCCAATTATGTAATTTTA